AAAATTAATTATTTCGCAATAAAAGCTATTTGTTTGTTTGTTTATTGTTGTTTTTTGATTTTGGTATTAATGCATGGCTTCTATTCATAATACAGTCAGAACTTGTTAAACCAAAGTCAATATTTTCAAAAAAAAAAACTTCAATTTAATAAAATCGGCTTATTGAGGTAAATTTTATAGGTAGATAATAAAACAACATTGGCTTATTGTGTATATCTGGTTTATCAAAGCATTGTCTTAACGAGTTCTAACTGTACGTTTTATTCGCTTTTATTCGTTTTATTCGCTTTTATTCATTTTATTCGTTTTTATTCGAATTATTATTACTCAAATTATTATTACTCGAATTATTTGATTTATTCAAGTAAACCTTATTTGAATAGAAAACCCTAACTGCTACTCAAGATTATGATATTATTTTAGCACAAAGAGCTTAAGAAATAATTTAATTACAATATAAAAGAGCTATCATCGGTTTATTAAATAATTAACTAAAAAATAGGGTTAATTATAAAAGAATATCTGATAAGTATTGACACTTTCAACATTTACTAGTAGGCTTTTAGACTATATGATAAAAATACTAAGAAAATTATTAACTTATCAGTATGCCAATACCAAAATTATTTTTTTAAAGAATAATCAGATTCTGATATTTGCTGATACCCCATTACCCAATTTGGCATCATTCAACCAGTAAAAAGAGAACCAATAGATTATATATAAGCAAAGAAAGATTGGACCCTAAATTAACACAAAAGAATTTTAAATCATGAACAAACATAACAGCTTGATAGCTTGATTGACATAGTGGTGCAGTCTTGCTATTTTTTTTTATTGTATATTTTAAATATAATTAATCATACATCTTTAACAAAACAAACATGACTTAGCTATTTAATCATTTCCTTGTATGTGAATGCCTCCATCCAACAAATATTCATGATGGTCATAATTATTATGCAATATGTTTGATGTCATATTTGATATAACAAACAATTGCATCACCCAAGTAGTAACAATACTAAGGCCATGCAAAAACGAAACTTTTAATAATGCATGTCTACCCAGACCTCTGGGATTCACAATAATGAATTATTCTTCCTAATTATCAATTATGGTTAAGGTTGTGGGCGAAACCTCTTAATGACTGTCGAAACTCTGTCGAAACTCTAATGAACAATTAATGTGTAACCTGTCGAAACTCTGATGATTGGCGAAAACCCCAAATGCGAAACTCTGCCGAAACTCTAATAAACAATTAATGTGTAACCTGTCGAAACTCTGTCGATTGATTTCTGGAGGAGTTTCTCCCGCAACCTTAATTATGGTTCCTTATGAATAATAAATCTGATGTTGATTGCAGGTGTCAGATTTAATTGAAATTTCCTATCACCAGCAAGCAAGCGCCATGCAAAGCATCCATTCAGCACCATGGATTTTATTCCACAAGTGAAAGAGACTTGAACAAGTTGGAAGGCTTTGGACAATACTTTCCCTTATCCTCCCCTAAGACCAGGCTGGATGTCACCATATGGGCATTGATCACTGATAGTTAGGGTATCTGTGAATACAAACCCTACTGATAGCTTGGTGCTTGTGTGATGATTGATTTGTGTTATTGCCACACTAGCATAAAAGTTGGTGTTAAGACTGGGTTGAAAATTCAGCAACTCAGAAGGTTGCAACCTGGATTGCTGCTTTGAATTTTTCCCTGGATTCAGAGTTTTGAGTCCTGGGTTGCTGTAATTTTTATGAAATGAAAAGTATTAATATTTAACAATTAATTATTTAAATGTTTATTTTGTTGAAAAAAATATACATTGATAGTGTACATT